TCTATCTATCTATCTATCTATCATATCTATCTATCATATTATCTATCTATCTATCTGTTGCCATGAGTAGTGTTCCCGATCAGTTCTAAGACTTCCATTAGATGGCCGCCTTAAATTTAGTCAATTACATAAAATTTAGATCATTTTTTTTCAAAGAAAAGGCTGTAATGAAGTAGTATTTTAATTTTAAATGCGCTATTTTCAATTGTATAATTTTGATTTTCTAAAAACCACTATTTTTTAATTATTGTATGTAGTAGGTGAAAAAGGATACTGTGGCTGTGTTTTAAATTGTTTATATATTGTTTTATCCTTTATTCAAGTTAAAGTTTTTCTTTTTAATATAAACTTTTGTTGTCTTGAGGCAATTCTTTTACGTTAAAGAATCGTATTTCTGTTGTATGATTTTTTTTTGCAAATTTATGGTGTAAAAATATTGTTTTTTTTTAATAATTTTATTGTAATTTCTTTTTTAGTTATTTTTTGACATTTTGTATACTAAATATGATCAGTTGTTGTTACAACAAAATTTATGAGGAGACTAATTAATAACATAAAGACAAAAATTTAGGATTTTTTACTAATTTTTCTAAATTCTTAAATCAAAGGGAGAGGAATTAGAGCGAAACTCTTCCAGGATAAACTGAAAGTATGGAAATTTAGTTGCTTTGTTGACCTTAGTAGAGTGTTAGAGAGGGCGGGGATTTTGTTGCAATGTAAGTGAAATTGTTTTTGTTTTTAGTGGAGTAATAAAGTTGATTTTATTTTATTTTTTTTTTTTTTTTGATACTCATTAAAACTCTAAAACTTAATTTATTATTTATATACGCTTAAGTAAATGTTTGTTGTTGTTTTTATTATAATTATTTTGTTTTGGGGGGGTTGGGGTTGTAGAGAATAATTATTACTTTAAAATAAAATTATAAAAAAAAACTATAGTTTATTTAATAAAAAATAAGTAAAAATTTTAATTTGATTACTTTAACGTTTCCACAGGTTTCTTAATGGAGAACAAAATAAAAACCTTTAACGTTTAAAGCTTTTACTCTATAAATTATTAAATTAAATAAAGAAAATTAATTAATAAATGATTTTATTTTGCTTTTGTGGGAGAGCTACAATATTGTGCTGCTTATTCTTCTTTAAATGTAGGAGGGAGAGAGGAGTTTTTGTTATTAATTTGTTTTTTTTTTTTCATTATTTAATTAAATATAAATTTGCCTTAAAGTTAAATGGTTTTTTTGAATGTTTTTTATTATTTTTTAATTATATTACTTTTCTTCAAAACAACTGCCTTAGACCTGCTCCTGAGCCCCTCTATAGAAGAAAAAAACAAAACGCTTTTTAAATCCTAAGCTGTCTTTCGCAAACGTATGTTTTTTATCCGTTTTTAAAAAGGCCCGAGTAGGTTGTGTGGACTTCTAAATTTTCTCTCTTTTCTTTCTTAATTTGTTCAGCTTTTATTAATCTTTCTTGTATTATGTAAATTATGTATGTGTGTTGTGTTGGTGTGTGGATGTATATTTTGTTTTTGTTTTACGAATTTTTAATCACTACGTATTTTCTTCAATTCTGGCTGTGATTGTCCCTCCAAGGAGGCTTCATCCGCACAATTTAGAGTCCGCTTTTGTCCCACTATAGTGGCAGCTGCTATGGCGGCCGCACCACCAGCACTACTTAATGTCGATGAATCATTATCCTCCGTGGTATTGTGATTTATTAAAGGCGTTTGTACATCATCGTTTAATGCACGACTGTTACTGCTCTCATCGTCTTCATCATCATACTCAGATTCACGCATACAATTACTGTTGCTATTCTCACCGTCTAGACCAGCTGCTGAGGCTGCCAAAATGCTACCATTACCATTTGCCGCAGCTACTACTCCTGTTGCTGCTACCGATGATGATGTACTGTTTGCCTCTTTGCTTGTTGTGTTGTTGATATTAGCCTTAACTGGTGCTTCTATGTTACTTTCCGAATCGGAAGCTAGTGGCGTTGCGACACCGCCAATATCACCATCACCCTCATCAGTGGTTTCGGTAGCTGTTGTCTGTGTGGTATTTTCATCGATAATAGGTTCTTGTGATGTTGAATCGTTTGAAATGAAATTTGAATCTCCATCATGAGGTGTTGGGTTGGTATTTTCATTTCGGATTCTGTAACAACATTATTACCATCTATGCGACCTGGAATTTTGGATAAGTAAACAAAAATGTTTAGAATGGATTTGATTCGAATAATATAGTCCCGTCTATAGTCCAGTCTATAGTCCCATCTATAGTCCTATCTATTGTCCAGTCTATTGTCCAGTTTATAGTCCAGACTATAGTCTGATCTATAATCCAGTCTATACTTCAGACTATAATCCAGTTTATAGTCCTGTCTATAGTACAGACTATAGTTCACTCTATAGTCCAGACTATAGTGCAGACTATAGCCCAGACTATAGTCCACTCTATAGTCAAGACTATAGTCCAGTCTATAGTCCATACTATAGCCCAGTCAATAGTTCAGTCTATAGTCCAGACTATAGTCCAGTCTATACTTCAGACTGCAGTCATGATCATAGTCTTGACTATAGGTCTGACTATGGTCTATAGACATTAATTTTACTACAGAATATATTACATATTAAAATCGAGGATAAGGTCCTATATACTATATAGAACCTGTTGTATAGTCCAGACTATACAACGTGTATTCCTATTATATTTAAACGATTTGAAAACTTAAAAAAAAACTCACCTGCACTATCATCGTCACCATCATTAGTATCATCACCGCCTGCACTTAGAACATTTGTTGTAGAACCATTAGCTTTGGACACACCGCCACCACCCTTACCGCTGGGCATTTCATCTAATAGCTCTGGACACAAATCATTGGCCACATAGTGAGCCCACAGTGCTAGCTCAACACGATGGGGCGACCAGACTGGAGTCTCACCGCCAGCCTGTGTATTAAGACGTGTAACGGTCGCCTGAATGTGTTGAACAAAATTGAGGTATTCTTTTGTGGTATAATCGATGCCTTCAATTTCTGGAATGGCCATAAGACACTCATCCGCCATAAAGGGTGCCGAATCGGGACAAGCGGCAGCCAAAGAGCCGAAGCCATAGTAGTACCCACACCCTTTAGATTCGATAGAGCCGTAATGGCCTGCTCTAGATTGGGCAGTTTACGAAAGGCTTTTTTAGTTTCTGTCATTACGGCGCGTGGTGTATTGACTTTGACCAAATAGTTGAGTTGTGGATAGAATTTGCCACGAGTCTGTTTCCATTTCATAGTCTGCACCAGTTCATCGTACACCAAATGGGCATCTTTCCCTCGACCCTTAATCACTTTGGGCAATTCATTCTGATACCAGTCATCGAGACGTATCAACTCCTGAGGTTTTTTATTACGTTTCTCGGCTTTGATTTTCAAAACTTGTGGATAGAGTTTATAGCAAAATTCAAATTGTTCCGAAGTGCCATTTTCGAAAAATGAAGCCGTATCTTTGCCGGTATTGGCCATCGTTTTAGATTAAATATAATTTTTTAGTGGTTGATGATGATGGTGGTGAAGTTTTCCTGTTTGCTTTTTTATTATTTTTATTTAGTTTATAAATTTTACGACTCCGCCGCTACATACAAGACGAAGATCGATTTGAGACACACAGAAAATAAAAACACAAACACTCAGGCACACATGCATACACAGCACTGAACCGAACCGTACCGAACCGACGAAGATGGGTAATAAAGTGAAATGTGAAAAAATACAAAAAGAAAAACGTAAAAATAAAAGAGAAATTTAAAACTGAGAATTGACAGATGGTATTGTAATGTTTTTTTGTGTTTTTGTTTTTGCTGTTTCTTTTTTTCTTCTGTCTTCTTTATTTAAGGTAGTAGTTGTTGTTGTTGTTGCTTAATGGCGTTAGCAGGCCGCAAGAAGGGAAGGCAACTTTACGTTAATAACAACAATAAATGTTGAGCTCTTTACTGTTGTTGTTGCTGCTGTGGTTGTTGATGATAAATGCGTTTGTATTGTTGTTGTATTATTTCTTTGCTTTAGTGGATTTTGCAGATGATGTTGCTTGCTGCTGATGATGAGGATTATGATGGTGGTGTTATTTTAGCGGCGTCAACAGCAGTTGTAGTGGTGGTGGTTGTTGTTATTATAATAATGTTGTTGTTGTTTAAGTAAAACGAGTAAAATCGTGTTTTAATGGCAGCTGTATACTATTAGTGGTGAGTTTTTTTCACTTTAAAGGTGTTTTTCTTTGCTGGTTTTGTTGCTGTAGTTGTTCTTTTATGCCAGTTTGTGTGGTGAAAGTATATATTGCTGGATGTTAGCGGCCTCGAGCTTTTTTAAACAGAAATCCTGTCCAGCGTTTTTACTATTAAATGACCATAACCTCCTTTTGGCATTCGGCGTTTGCTTGAGTTAAGTATCTACAATATTGATTCTCCAACTCGTTTTGTTCAGCGTTCCACACACTCGGTTTTTTCGTTCTTCCACTTTGCAACACAAAAAACCTTCGAATTGCAAAAAAAAAGATAAATTCATTTAGTTTAAATATTTTTTCTTGTCTTATTCATTATCATCTTGTTTGCACAAGTAACCAGCACCATATTTGTTTAAAAACACAATTTAAAAAAAAATTAATTTTGCCTTTTAATTTCTTGTTTTTTTCAACTCACCTTTTTTTCACATTAATTTCCAATATTTGTGTATATTTTGTTTATTTTTATAGATTTTTTAAACAAAATTAACGTTATATTTTCTTAACAATTTTAAATTGCAATATTTTCACCGTAATTCCTTTGCCACTCGATAATATGAAATGAATTTTTATTTCTTTCTTTTCTTGCTTCTTTATTTTTTCAAAAAATTCAGTCACAGCGCACACACTAGCAACAAAACAGCTTTTTTCAGTGTGTTCTGCTTCTTCATCTTTTATTCGTCAAGTCGTTTAAACAACAGCAACAACAACAACTAACTCATCGTGTGTCGTTTATTGTATTTCTCTTTTGCCCCTAATTCGTTTTTATGTCTCTCCCTCTGCTACCCTACCTCACCTTTTTGCTCTAAAAAACTCTTTTGCTGAAATTTTTCTTCAATTTCCTTTTGCTTTAAAGTTTTATGTTGTTTTCGTTTTGTTTTATTATAGATTTTCGTAAATTTGCCAATTTTTTTGTATGTTCTTCTTCTGTTTTTGTTGTTTATCTCAATATTCTTGAGGCGTTTAAAATGCATACATATGTTTGGTATTAGTATGTGTGTTTGTGTTTTATTTTCATTAAATATTCTTTTTTATTTTTGTTATTCTTCTGCTATGTGTTTTTTCATGTTATTTTTTGTTGTTTTGAAGTGAAATGCATTTGACAGGGTTGCAATAAATTCGTTGTATTTATTTTACTCTATAAACATGGAAAAAAACGTAGAATTTTTATATCGGAAATGTGCAAAGTTTCAAAATAATATACTTTTTACGTAGTACAGTGGGTTAACAAAGTTGAACAGAAGATTGCTTTTAGTAAGTAGGTTGATAAAGCACTTGTGCTGCATGTACTTAAATGTTTTTGTTATTTTTTTTCAATTTAGTATAGATTAAGAAGTTTTTCATTTTGTTTTTACATTCAATATAGGAAATATATTTTAAAATTAAGTTTTTATTAATTTGTTTATTTTAACTGTTTTAATTAACAGCTTCAAACAATAATAGGCAGAATTTAAAATTTCAAAATATGTTAGAATAAGACATTTTAAGAGATAACATTAAGTGATCCGTTTTTTTCCTGTTTTCCTACCTACATCTGCACAGTTTTAACAAATCCATCCGGTTTAAGTTGATCTGCTTAAGCCGCACAGTAGGCTAAATATATTTTTTGGAATTCTATTTTTGCCAAACTGTTGAAGCTAATAGTTTACGTTAGCGTACCATAATAACAGAATCGAAACATTATTTATGGAAAACGTCAGCACTCCAGACAACTGAGTTGGATAGATAGATAGATAGATAGATAGATAGATAGATAGATAGATAGATAGATAGATAGATAGATAGATAGATAGATAGATAGATAGATAGATAGATAGATAGATAGATAGATAGATAGATAGACAGATAGATAGATAGATAGATAGATAGATAGATAGATAGATAGATAGATAGATAGATAGATAGATAGATAGATAGATAGATAGATAGATAGATAGATAGATAGACAGATAGATAGATAGATAGATAGATAGATAGATAGATAGATATATAGATAGATAGATAGATAGATAGATAGATAGATAGATAGATAGATAGATAGATAGATAGATAGATAGATAGATAGATAGATAGATAGATAGATAGATAGATAGATAGATAGATAGATAGATAGATAGATAGATAGATCGATAGATAGATAGATAGATAGTTAGAAAGATAGATAGATAGATAGATAGATAGATAGATAGATAGATAGATAGATAGATAGATAGATAGATAGATAGATAGATAGATAGATAGATAGATAGATAGATAGATAAATAGATAGATAGATAGATAGATAGATAGATAGATAGATAGATAGATATATAGATAGATAGATAGATAGATAGATAGATAGATAGATAGATAGATAGATAGATAGATAGATAGATAGATAGATAGATAGATAGATAGATAGATAGATAGATTGATAGATAGATAGATAGATAGATAGATAGATAGATAGATAGATAATAGATAGATAGATAGATAGATAGATAGATAGATAGATAGATAGATAGATAGATAGATAGATAGATAGATAGATAGATAGATAGATAGATAGATAGATAGATAGATAGATAGATAGATAGATAGATAGATAGATAGATAGATAGATAGATAGATAGATAGATAGATAGATAGATAGATAGATAGATAGATAGATAGATAGATAGATAGATAGATAGATAGATAGATAGATAGATAGATAGATAGATAGATAGATAGATAGATAGATAGATAGATAGATAGATAGATAAGATAGACAGATAGATAGATAGATAGATAGATAGATAGATAGATAGATAGATAGATAGATAGATAGATAGATAGATAGATAGATAGATAGATAGATCTGGATTCAGTTTAACTAAATCATTTTATAAAACCTTTAAGGTGTCTTCGAGAGAGTTACCAATTTCTTATAACAAATAGTTTTTGTTGAATTTTCCATAATACCACGGACAGTTATGTATCGAACTTTTCTATAACTTTATATCTTGTTTAAAAGGTCTTATAAATTTTCCATTTTCTATTAAATTCATTTGCCACTAACATTTGCTTTATTTGTCTTGCCTTATATCCCACTGTATGCACATTTTAAGGTTTTAAATTTCTGTTAAAGCGCAAAAATTTAAATTTTTCCTATTAACGGTCATGAATTCAAGTTTCTACTAATAATTTAATTACTTCACAATCTATAAAGTTTTTCTTTGCGTTTTTTATATAAAACAAAACTTGAATAGTTTTTTAAAAAATAAATTTAAATAAAATTTAATAAGTTCTTAAAATTAAATTATAGAAAAAAGTTTTTAATTTCATTTAAGAAAACTAAATAATTAAAGAATAATGAATAAATTTTGCAAAAATGTGTGTATTTCATTTTATTATACAAAATTTTCAAAATGTATACTTGATTCATTGTCATCAGCAAGTAGCAGCAACAAAATGAATTTACGAGGGTAACACTAAAAGTTATTTTTAATTGTATAGAAATTGATTAATATCAAAAAGATAACTTGAACATAATTTTGGTAAAAAATTTGGGATAAATTAGAAAGGAAAAGGCATTCTTGATAAGAGCGAAAAAAACGTTTAACCCAGAGGCCAGAGTGTACTTTTCCAAAGGATTGAACTGTACTATAACCTTAGAAAGATGGTGTTATAACGGTTCGAATATTGACAAAAATAAAACTATATTTCTTTTCAATTTGACCTCGTATAAACGAACAAACTTTATTTTAGCCAACGAATGTAACGTCCGACTACTATAGAAAACCAATGAAATAATATGAGAAAATGGAACATAAAAAAAGATAGCGACCCTCATGGAAAAACATTCAAACGTATGTATGAGAAATATAGTACAATGAAATGGGATTGGGGATTTTCATGTGCTGTGTGTGCAACAGCAGTTTGTTGGTAGTCGAGACTCTGCTCTATTCTCGACTTGTAACTATGAAACGAACAGATGGATAGACGTACATATGTACATACATACATCGCAAAAAATAATTGCTGTTGGCAGCTAGTAGTCGTATATAGCTACAGTGGTTCACTGGTTGGATGGTTAGTTGGCTGTTCAGTTGCCTGTTTGGTTCGTTGGTTGACTGGCTTTCGATAATGGAACGAACAACCTAACACACGCTTACTAGCAGATACGTTTTTCCCCATTTATATTAAAAATATTGTATACAGAAGATGACAAAAGAAAACAAGTATGAAAGTTGATAAAGACCGACCATAAGAAACCCTTCGCCGATATAAACTAACTTTCGTTAGATGGATTTATGAACAGTTTTGGATAATTAAAGGAAGATGGAGAACTAATATGTGTATACGTTATAAATATCAGTCATTATAGGCTCCACATTTCAACGGTGTCAATATACTTGTCCATAGACTAGTTAATACAATAGACTAGTTCTTAAACTAATCAATGGACTAGTCCATAGACTAGACCAAAGACTAATCATTATGGACTAGTAAGTAAACTAGTCCATAACCTAATCGATAAACATACTATCAATATACTAGTACATAGGGTATTAAAAAGCAAACAAACCAACGCTAGTCCGTCGTCAGTCACACTGTAAGCGAACCCAAAAGCAACTTTGTGCTGGTTCATGTATAAAATAACGAAATTGTACCCAAACCCACACACACACACACATACATATTTACAAACAAACTCACACAGATACTCAGGCATAAATAATTTGTTGTTCTTCTTCTTCATTCTTCTCTTTTAGCTGCCAGTGGTGCTAATCGTTAATACTGTTTTATTGTTGTTCGTTTTTACATTATTTTCGTACACTCGTTCGTCGTTGTCATGTAGTATGTATTTCTTTCATTATTCATTGTTTTGTGCATTCATTTGGTGTTTTTTTTTTCATTTCTAGCCATTAGTAGCGTGTGTATGTGCTTCTTTTGCCATTCTATTTTATTCTTATTATTCGTCACACATATATAAAATACATTTTTCATTGGGTTAGTTACACTGTGTACATTTTATTTTTGGTTTCATTTCATTCTCTCTCATTCTTCGATGTTTTCTTTTGCAAGCAATTTATTTGTATTCATTTAAACTTCGGATACGTGCTGTCGATGTTAAAATACGATAAAATACAGAGAAATTCAAGCAAGCAGGCATCGTTTGAAAATGTGACATACTTAAGAGGTTGTTTGTGTATGCCGCTTATAGGGTGCAACGAATGAAATGTACTGTATTTTAATGGTATTGTACTATAATAGGGTAAAGAAAAGTGGTGGTTAATACAAAATGTTGCATTTGTTTAAGTTTTCATAAAAACTACTAGAGAATTTTGTGGACCAGGCCCGACTTATTAGTACAATTTATAGAGGAAATATGGCCTATTATGGACCGAAAATCAAATACATAGGTTTACATGCCATTTTTAAACGACCTACCTATCCGATTTTTTTCTACAAAGGAGTAAACAAAGTTTTGAAGATGAATTCCACAGAAACATTGGTAGTACCCTGATCCTAAAGGTACCTATTTACATCTGGACCTATTTACATACATATATGTAAACAGGCTAAAATTTTCATAAACATTCTTTATTATGAGTTTGTTTAGTATATAAAATGGGCAAAATCGGTACTCGTGTGACCCTAGTCCCCATGTATTATGTATGTAAGCTCTAATCTAGAAAATGACTTTAATTTTAATAACGGCCTTAACCCTTTTACAGAAAATCACTTTATTGCCAACACATCGTT